TACAGGTCACCCTAAAAACTGAAGGACATCCGGAAAGCTGCCTTATTCTGGCCCAACGTCTTTAAAATCCAGACAAGCTCTAGTGCAGCAGTGAGCAGATCCAGGATCCAACCTACCGTTCGGGCAAAGGCAGGAGAGTTCAGCAACAGTCTTAGGAGAAGCCTGTCCAGTCTGTGCGATGGGAGTAGGTGAGCACAGTTCAAAGTTTGCAGTGTTCAGTATAAAGGTTTGGTGGGACCTTGATGCCTGGCAGCTTTGTGTGTTTGAATTTCTCTTCCATGTGAAATGCATGTTACTCCTGTAGAGACACAACACCTGCTTTTTGTGCCAGGATTCTGATTGGGCAAACAGTTCATTAAAGATGCTTTTACTAATCATCCTGATGATCTCACTTGTCTCCTGTAGGGATCCTGAAGCAGGTGCTCGCAGCCATCCTGATGGTCCTCATCACGTTCTTGGCCTTCAGAAAAACCATGGATTGGAGCACTACTGGTTAGCCCTGAGAAGCGTCTAACTCCACATGGTCATCGTTAATTTCCAAATGACTTTCTCATAAAATGTGCTGCTCTGATTGTGTCCCAATTGAGGTAAAACTGGGTCATGGGCTCACATTAGCTGCAACTGTACTGTTGTGTTTACATTTATAATTATATTCCAGGGAGAGTCCTGGGTATGATGTTAAACTGCATCCAGCCCTGCAAGCAGTCCTCCAACTTGCAGGGAAACAATTTTTGGGGGTTGGTGCCGGGATTGGCACTCCAGCCACCGTAAAACAACTCACAACTGCTCGATTTAAACAAGCACAATATCCTTCTGCACTCCATGGGATTATGCTGGGGCAGAATGCACCATGAAGGGGATGGGGGAAAACCCTCGGGAGCCTCATCCTGGATGAGTCGAAACTGTTGGAGAGCTAATAGGGTCAGGCCTGTTGGGGATCGAGGCTGGTGTGGTGCTGAGGCGTCACCTGCTGCATGGCGGCATTTGGGTCCCAGTTTGAGGCGATCCCTTCCGGGTAGGTGTGTGGAACATCTTGTATCTCCGGCAAGATGACCATTTTCCTCTGTTGTCGGGGGAGCTTCATAAACGTTCCGGTGGCAGCACTCTCTGAAGTACGCAGACCGGGAAGTGGTTAGATTTCTGTAGGTGGGTATATCTACTTTTGGTCTGGTCGGTCTGATGGCTGCCAAACTCACGGAGTAGCTGTTGCTGTAGCGGATTGGCTTCTCCCGATGGTGGCTGATGTCACGCCTTTCAACGAGAGTATTATGAGACTTAGGCTAAGGCACTCCTTGGGTGTCTTGTCTGTTGTCTCAGTGTATGCTCCGACCACGGTGAGTGATGTATCGCTCTCAATGTGACCACTTGTATTGTATTGGTCCCCATGCGTCTGGAGACTGTGAAAAGTGGCTCCATGTTCCTTGACTTTGCGAAAGGTCAGGGGCTGCGGGTCACTGGATCCTGGTTCCAAAACCCTGAGCAGCATCATTGGACTTGGTATGGTGAAGGAGATCGACCACATCCTCATGAGCAGACGCTGGAGGCTCCTGCAGAACTGCAGGGTCTACAGAAGTGCCCAGTTTGTGAATTCTGGCCACAGACTTTTTGTTGCTAATCTGAATACAGAATGCTAGTCTGTCATCTACTAAGGGAATGAAGTTGGACTTAGCCAGACTTCAAGATCAAGCTGTTTCTGATGAGTTTGCATGCAGTTTGTGTGAGGAACTTGCAGGCTTGGGTGCAACTGCTGACTCTAATGTGATATGGGAGACCTTCCATGACAAGACCCTGAAGGTTGCTGAAGGTTGTGTTGGTGTTGCCAGTGTCCCCAGAAGGAGGTGTTTCATCTTGCAGGGCACTCTGGATATTATCAAGAGGAGTCACTGCGCACGACTTGGTGGCAACTCCAGTCTGTACCAAGAAGTGAGAAGGACGGCTGTGAGGGCCCTGAGGGCAGATAAGGAGGTGTTTCTTAGACGAATCTGTGAGCAGGTATCACACTATCTGTGGTCTAGTGACCCACGTCCTGCTTACAGAGGAATCGAAGCATTACGCACATCTGAATCTGTTCGTTGGAGACTTGCAGTCAGGGTGATGGAACAGTCCTAATGGATTACACTGCAGTTGTGACCCGCTGGGCCGGCTACTTTGAGCAGTTATTTAAAGCTGACCCTCCTGCTAGGATGTTGGACATCTCTGGGTCTACGGTTCTTGAAGCTGATCCTCCGATCAGCTGTGAACCACTCAATCTTACTGAGATTGCACAAGTGGTGAATCAGCTGAGGGTAGGGAAGGCCGCAGGGTTCTGTGGTATTCAGGGTGATCTTCTCCAGGCTGGTGGTAAGGCTGTCCTCCTGGCATTGCAGGCAATCTTTGCTTCCATTTGGAGGCGTCATCCCAACTGACTGGAAAACGGGACTTATAGTCCCTATCTGGAAAGGGAAGGGTGATCGCCTGGATTGTGGCAACTACAGGGGGATAACACTGCTTTCAGTGCCGGGTAAGGTCCTTGCTAGAGTCATCCTTAACAGGATCACTTGCTTGCTTGTCAGTGGCCGGAGCAGTCTGGAGGTACGCCTAAGAGGTCTACCATCGACCGTATCCTTGCACTGAGGGTTCTCATTGAGCGCAAGTGTGAATATTGGCAGAGGTTCTTTGCAGCCTTTGTCGATTTTTCATAAAGTTGCCCTGTGGGACATCATGAGACCTCGCGGGATCCCCCCCAAGTTGCTGGATGTCATGGCTGGCCTGTACACTAGTACTGTGAGTTGAGGGAGAACCTCTGCGTTCTTCCCAGTTGATTCTGGGGTTCGCCAGGGGTGTGTTCTTGCTCCTACTCTGTTCAGTATTTGTATGGACTGGGTGTTGGGCAGGGTCATGGGTCCAGCAGCTGTGGGGCATTCTTTGGTGAAGAAAGATTTACTGATCTTGACTTTGCCGACGAGTCAATGGAGGCTCTGATCAGGGCTCTTGAGAGACTGAGTGAGGAGTCAAAGTGTCTGGGATTGTGGGTGTCCTGGATAAAGACCCATATCCAGGCATTTAATGACTTCTTAGGCACAGACATCAGTAGTGTGTCTATCTGCGGGAGCAGTGTCGACTTTGTTGAGAGATATACCTATCTCGGCAGCGACATACATGTCTCTGGAGACTCTTCCTATGAAGTCTGCAGACGGATTGGAAGAGCATAGGGGGTCATGAGGTCGCTGGAAAGGGGTGTGTGGCGCTCCTGATATCTTTGCAAGAGGACGAAGGTCCAAGTCTTTAGAGTCCTGGTGCTCCCTGTCTTGCTGTATGGCTGTGAGACATGGAGACTGTCCAGTGAGCTGAGGTGAAGACTGGACTCCTTCAGTACTGTGTCTCTTTGGAGAATCCTTGGGTACCACTGGTTTGACTTTGTGTTGAATGAGCGGTTGCTAGATGACTCCCAAATGAGGCAAATTACCTGCATTTTCAGGGAGTGTCAGTTATGGCACTACGGCTATGTGGCTTGTTTCCCTGAGGATGATCCAGCTCACAGGATCTTCAGTGATGAGGACCCAAGAGGCTGGACCAGGCCAAGGGGATGCCCTCGTAATACCTGGCTGCGGCAGATAGATAGCCATTTCAGGAGGGTAGGACTGGACCATGTATCTGCCTTGGGGATCACCGGCTGGGAACCAAAGGAGTTTCGCCATGGTGGGTGCGGCAACGCGTTGCATCAGCGCATGCTCCCCAACCTGACCTGACCTGAGAGTTTGGATTGTCCAAGTTTGACTAATTGGCATTTTCAAATTGCCCATAGTGTGAGTGCTCTATGATGCTGGCATCGAGAGTGTCCCCTTGATGTATTAACGAGTTCAGGGCCTCCCCTCATCTGCCCCCAATCCCCAAAATGATACAATAATTAACTAAAAAACTGTTAGTAACTGTAAAATAATTTCTGCACAGACACCAAGCTAGAAGGCCAAGATGAGCTTGAAGACCAAATAGCACAGTCACCTTAAATGATATTTATTTTACTACATATCTGATCCTCTGTATAACGAGAGGGATACTGCTTATGGCTAAGGTGACTTTTTGTAATAAACCTGTCTTTCTCACATTACCCATTATAGATTCCACCAGGTTCCATCATAAAATATGTTGGGGCAGATAAAAATGACACCAGGAGACACAATGGAAGAGATTTTGATGGGATTTTGCAGTAGATTTCAAAGGATCCATATTTAATACACAAAACAAGCAAAACATTCAGCGTGAGTTGAATGATAGAGGTCTAAGTTGAATTTGCTGTGTGTGTGTGTGTGTGTGTGTTTCTGCATGTGTTTCTCTCTCAGATCCCGAAGGCCCCTCATATAAATGTGACCTGTCCAGGCCTTGTCCTCCAGAATCCTTTGCCTTTAAGATGAAGAGTGGTATTGCCAATGTGCTGGGGCCCAAAATCTGCCTGGAGGACAACATGTAAGACCCGCCCCTTCCTGTTCCTGCTACCTGCACTTCCTGTCTGGGTATCTCACTCTCTGTGTTTTTCTTTCAGCCTCATGAGTGGCGTGAGGAACAATGTGGGACGAGGACTGAACATCGCTTTAGTGAACAGTAATCCAATATCTCAGCTTAATATCATTAATGCTCATGATCACTGAGTGGTCTGTGTTATGTCCCAGTTTACCCACCCAGACTCGTGGATGTTTAGTAAACATTTGAAGTGAAATTATCAATGCAGGAGTGTAATAGAAAGAATTATCTCACATGCAATTTTTAGTTAGTATAGCTAATACAGTTAGCCCAATTTTAATCCATCCGTCCATCCATCTATCCATCCTCCAGCATTTATCAAGTGCAGTGACATGGGTGGGGGTGGCCATCCACATATAAGGCACGAGTCAGGAGTACACACTAGAGGGGGTGCCAGTCCATCACAGGGTGCACACAGGCCAGTTACCATCACCCACAAACCATGAGCAATTTTTAGATGCCAGGACACCTACCTGCCCAGCATGGGGAGAACTTGCAAACCCCACAGCCTGGTTAGAGTTATAAGAGAATGGAAGGACTCCAGCAGACTGTTTGTGTGTGTCCACAGGAAGTACTGGAATACCCATCAAGACGGCTTACTTCGATATGTGGGCGGGAGGTAAGTTTATTCACAAGTTTATCGTATAACTTTATAGGTGTAAGTGTCAGACACTGTATTTAATAGGCTGACTGTAGTTACATGAAATTAATTGTATGCTTATGATTGGGAATGTACTATTTTTAGATGTCAAGCTCCTAATAAATTTCCTGAAAAGCATTGAAGAAGGGACACTAGTCATGATGGCTACGTTTGATGAGTCTTCTACAAAGTAAGTGTGTCGTTCGGTGAGTGGACATTTTGTTTAATGAGCCGCACCCTGTGTGTTTGACGGTCTGGTCACATGGCTGTGGTTCAGCAGCTGGTCAAATCTCCCAAACAATGTCTTTATTACCTGACTGATGTTTGATGAACCACCTGCTTCACAGACTCAATGAGGAAGCGAGGAAGCTGATCAGTGATTTGGGGAGTTTGAGTATAAACAAGTTGGGGCTCAGGGATAACTGGATCTTTGTGGGAGCTAAAGGAATCAAAAGGAAGAGACCCTTTGAGCAGGTATGTAGCCCTACAGCTGTTCCTAACCCCATCATACATTGGATGACGTAGGCCGTCTTTTAGCCAGAGAAAACTGAACCACTCTTTTACATGTTTGCAGCACCTGGTGAATAATGCGGACACCAATAAGTATGAAGCTTGGCCAGACTTTGTGGAGATGGAGGGTTGCATTCAAATAAGAACAGACCAGGATGCCTAATTTCAGAAACCTTAGTCATGAGTTTGGCCAATGGCATGGACAGGAGAACAACGAGACCGCTTCCAACAGACTGTGATGCTCACCATCCCTTTTGTCTCATTTGTATAAGGTTGTGCTGCCAGACCGCTATAGGTGATTCAAAACATGGTAGCATGTGTGATTATCCATCAGCACAAGCACTCTCATGTTTCACCCTTCCATGTGTCTCTTCACTGGCTCCCTATTGGTGCTTGCATCAAGCTCAAGTCCTACAGTAGGTGTTGGCTTAAAGGTCCATCAATGGACAGGCACCCATCTCCATTAAAAGGCTCCTCAAGACCTATGTCCCTTCTCACAAACCATTTGGAGCTCCCTCTACCACAAGGAAAGCGTCACTCAAGACGGTCCCCTTGTGTGGTTCCTCGATGGTGGAATGAGCTGCCAGACCACGTCCAGTCATCAGACTCCCTCTTCACCTCAAGACTCAAGACCCATCAGATCCATGAATTCCTCAACTATCCCGATGCCTCTTTATGTTCTTTAAATGCTCTTATGTTGCAGTTTCTGGCCCTTGAATAGTCTTATTAGGGTCTAACTTTGTTAATAATTATTATGTAGCTGTTATGTAGTTCCTGCTCCAGTACTGCTCCCACTTATACCTGGACACTTATTGTAAGCGTGGCCAAGCTGCACTTATGTCTAGTTCAGTGATTCTCAACTCGTGGGTCGCGACCCAAATTTGGGAGATGGCAAGTTCTGAAAGGGTCATGAGGCAGAGTTGGAAATGTAAGCATTTTGAAACCAGCAAGCTCCTATACTGAGCCACAATCAGATTTCCCAGCCCCAATCCTAGAATTAATCTATATAAACAGGTCTTGGGTCAGCAAATGCTTAGCGCAAAACTAGTGAACACATAGCAAATTCAAGAAGCCAATTCGTGGATGCCTAATTTAAAATTCACTGGCACATCCAATCAGATTTGTTCAATAGGCTTTGATTGGTGTAAATTGCAGAGTGTACTGTGTGCTTGATCATAGCATACGATATATAGGGTCGCGACTGAGCTGGCATGGTAACACTTGGGTCACGGTGCAAAAAAGGTTGAGAAGCACTGGTGTAGGTGACTCCTTAACAGCATGTACTGTATATTTGCACTGTTTACCTCACTTGTACTTTGCTTTGGAGAAAAGCTTCTCCTGAATACCCTACCAGTCAAAAGTTTTGCATGCACTGAGATTTTCTACATTTGCATTTTACTTTTACAGCAAGGAAATGTCATATCTTTGATTCATCAAAGTAACCTCCTCTAGCAGTTATACCAGCAGAGAAAATTCGAGGCATTCTTTTCTAGAAGGGACATTAAATCCTGCTCTGTTTCCTGGGATGAAACATTTAACTAGTGCATTTTAAATTAAAGCACAGCCTAGGGTTTGACTATGTCATCATCACACAATCAGTTAGTAGGATGTCAATCCTGCACATACTCTTTCCATGTCATAAAGGAAACTTGTTTCATTTTCATGTATAGTTGTCCACTCTAATTTTCTAACTTTCTAATACTTAACAGGAATAAAACATTTGCAGTTTATGAAATAAATGCAAAAGTGGTAAAAACCTGTGCTGTACAAAAACTTTTGACTGGTAGTGTATGCAAATATAAATGTACTCAGCTCTGTGATGGGGGGCGATGTGGGTGTTTTGGGGAGGGGTTCATCGCCTCCCCTTTACTCCCCCATACACAGTTACTGTTCAAAATAGCATAAAGAAGAGTTTTCTGTGGCTCACAGAATGGATGTAGGAGTCACCAGAAAAACAGAGAGTGATTGTGCCTGTTGGTCCTTTCTTAGAGTCCATATGTCAGTATCTGTTGTTTTTTCCTCCAAGACTGTTAACTGCCAAGATCTGTAATTATGTTGCTCGCTCAGCTCTCTGACCCTCTGGGTGCTTCTCAACATGCATACTTGACTGTACTTGTATTCTTGTGTACCCATTGTACGTCATCTTCCGTTGCCAAAGACTAGTTCCAATACTCAAGAACAGAAGTACCGAGAACGGTAAAAATTCCCGGATGGCTTTCTTGCCCTTCCTCAAATAACAAGAATGCATCGTTTGCATCCTCGCCAAATGAGACCAATCCCATGATTCATTGCCTCCCAAGTTGGGAGGCAAGTTAGCAAGATTGGTCTTGCCAAGATCACAAGCATGATCTTTGCATTCTTGGTATTGAGAAACACTGTATGTGTTTCAATGTGTCAGGTCGCTGTCACAGAGAAAGTGATGCTTTTGTATATTTGTGTCTTTAGCAAATGAAATATTGTACTTTTGATAGCTTTCATCCATCATCCATCCATCCATTCATCCATTTCCTGAAACTGCTAATCACATTCAGGGTCGTGAAGCTTTCAAGAATCAAATACATTTTTTCTGTAACATTAAGGCCATGTTTTTAGTAATTTATAAACACATTCATAATGCATTATAATGCATTCATAAAGCATTGTAAACATTATAAACATGGCTATACATTTATAAAAAGGCATAACACATTATTGTGGTGGCTGGTCGCGACAGAGGAGACAGACCCCGGAATGCAGTGTGCAACTGATTTAATATTCCAGCTGTTACGATCCCCAGTCTAGGGTTGTGGATCGCCAGAAAGGTAGAGGAGAGGGAGAGGGGAAGACGGGACAAGCAGGGAATGGGAAAGGGGAACACAGGAAACACAGGGATCTTTTTTTGTATTTTTTTATATTTATTCACAGACACGGTTACAAACACGAGGTGCAACAAACTTGGGGAGTGACCGACGCCAAAATAACAACCAAAACAGCTAACGAACACGTCCCAAACTAAGCTAACTCTAAAGGTAACGAAAACAAGAGGAAACAAAATGACAAAGACTAAGTGTAACTCCCTAACCAAAACAACAGTAAACACCACGTTCGCAAAAACAACAAGGCAGTCACTCCTTACGCACCTAAGAGACATGTACAGAAAACACACAGGCTGAAACACGGTATCCTAAAGGGCGAGGCAAAGAGAGTAGTCAGGAGCTAAGCAAGAGTTCAAACCAGAAGACAAACAAACCGAAGGCAAAGGTACCAATAGGGCAAAGCAGAAAGTCAGAAACCTGGAAACCAAAACAGTCATATACAGGAGTCAATCAGAAACAGCAAACCAACACAGCGATAGCAAAAGACAAAGCTTGAGCAAGAGCTCGAGCTAGCTGTGACCAGCAGGCTTTATCCGGAACACAGGGCCAGGGTCAGAGGTCAGAGGGCGGAAGGGGCGTGGCCGAACACTGGGAGGCAGCGATTGGCGAGTTGAGCTTGGGGCAGAAGACTGAGGTGTCCTGTAGACATATCCAAACACTTACGGCACATAACACAACAAGCAGCGATCAAAGTTAAGGGGATCAGGCGAAGTCGTCGTCGTAAAGCAGGCAAAGGGTCGATGTCCAGGGAAGTCAGTCCTACACGGAGTGACGGGACAAGGCGACGAGGGGAAGGGACCCACGGAGCCGATGGAGGGGCAGGGCAGGACGGAGCAGGCAGGTAGCAGAAGGCGGGTGGATGGAACAGACGAGGCAGGCAGGGCAGTTGGAACAGCAGGGCAGGACACCGCAGGCAGGGCGATCGGGGAAGACAATAGACAGAAAACCGCTCAGTATGGCACATTAGAACAATGGCAACAATACTTCGCACTGAACCTGGGTCATAGACAGCTTTAAGAAGTGGGGCAATTGCCTGACGAATGCCTGCCGGGGCTTGGCCCCGCCCTCGTGGGCGTGACAATTATAGCCATGTGTACTATGCATTGTGGCTGCATTATGAAGCTCTCATCTATAATGCACTATAGATACTTTTATAATGTAGTACAAAGTATCCATAATGCATATTCCGGCCATTATAATGCATTACAAACGTAGTGCATTATAGATTAGAGCTTCATTAACATTCATAATGTATAATACACATGGTTATAATGTGTTATGCCTTTTGATAAATATTCCATTTTCATAATGCTTTATGAATCCCTTGTTATTTGTAAAGAATGTGTTCTTTTTTTCTACATATCCTGCAATAATCATCTTGAGATTCAATGATGTTCATCATCTTTGTGTGATTCTCTTTAGCTGATCCAGGTCTTGTTTGCCTTACTTATGTAAACACATAAATGGGTCAAGCTTTTCACTCCTAATATATTTGCCTGATATTCCGCACACAGTGAGTTGTGTTCTTTTATCTTATCAATCAGTCATAGGAAGGCACAGAAGCCTTGAATGTTTCCCCAGGCCTAAGCCTATATTTAAATTATGCAACTGTACAGATGGGTAAAAGTGTAAAATTATTTGGTGAAAAAAATAATGTTCAACAAAATAAATTATAAATGAAATTGTTTGGTCCCCGATCATAAGCAATAAATTAAGAATAGATAAGGCAAAAAAATATTTATCTTGAGGGATATTGTGGGAAGAAAAGTATTCCTCAGACTGGACTAATAAATATTTTTTGTACCGAAGAAGCATGCCGAAGTGTTTGCTATCCTCCCTGTGCCCACTCTGCTATTAATCACCATTAATCACTTAATATGAACATATTATATATTCCTATTATACCTCATAGTATATCATGCAAATGTCAGATTTAAGTTGCAAATATGCATGTGGTGATTTTTCTAAATTTGCACCTGGAATGAAGTTGTAAACTGTTGTAAATAACCTGTTTACCACATTTTCCTCCGGGTGCCATTCAAAGGTTTTTTTCCCCCTCTAAAAATATGCCTCCCTATATTACATTTATTAATTTAGCAGACTTTATACAAAGTGACTACTCTCAGAGTGGATTTCAAGATGTCTTACTGTCCTGAAATGTGTCCGGAAACCTCAGTGCTTCATTATACAGGTGATGTTTAAATAAGTGTATGGAGAATAAGATTACCAGCCTGCACCTAAATTTGTAGAGAAACAAAATCTTCTCGCAGCCACACGCCCTTGTTCAGCTTCAGCACCCTGTACTTTGTAACTGAACAAAACTAGGATATTTATGTGAAGTTACATTTCAGGCATCCGGTTGTCCATTAGTGTTGTTTTGCACAGAAGTCAACAGCACCCTACAAAAATGAGAATACTTTATTCCTTTAATGTTTGTTAAAATCAGTGTAGGAAAGTGCTTGGATTGAAACATGAATAAATCCACGGTAATTATTGACTCTTTGTTCACTATTTTTAATGCACAAATCCAAACACCAGAGGGCGACATTGCTCCACGCAGGGTCAGAAATTCAGCGCAATGACATCACTGAGGATGCTAATTCTGTCCAGCCTTTCTAATCTGGCCTCAAGAATAGCCATCCTACAAAGACCGAGCCAGTTTATTTCTGTCTCTGCATCTAAATGGGAAATGTATTGCAAAGTTTAGTGCCCTAGATGTGTGACGTGTGAACAAGAACATAATATAGAGACGCTCACGGCTGACAGTCTGAGAGCATATTTCAGCCTGAGGGGCATTTCACTGATAAGAGCACAGCCACAAAATGAATAGAGGGGTTTGGGCCATATGAGCAAGGGCTAGCCTCTCTTCCAGCGGCGGTCTCTAACTAGTGGTGTCTAATGAGTGACAGAGTCCCATTGGTCACTAAATTAAGAGCGGCCCAGCATGCTGTCAGTGGCTATCTGAGAGAGGTGCAGCTCCCTCAACACTGACTACATGATTGCCTTCATGCTTTTCCTCATCGCCTTGCTTCTCAGGCGTGCTTTCTGGCTGTGACTCACCCCGAGCCCTGCCTGCCCTATGCAGATTCGGTTTTTACACTTCAATGTCCAATCCGGAGCGCTGAAGAGAGGGTCAGGGGTCACATGATGTCACACAGCATGAATGGGTTCCCGTCTAGATGTTGCAAAATAATGCAAGTGATGACATGAAGGATAGTGTGTGCTTATGAGACTGGAAGGCTGCTGTCATTGTCGTGGGTCTTGTCCAAATTCTAAGGACCACCCCCCCCTCTGCCTGCATGGGCCACCTCATGGGGGTGGCAACCACATGACCTCCATTCACCATCCCCAGTGTACAAAGCGTCCCTGTTCTCCGGTCAAGTTTCTCTTATGAACAGAAGAGCTGAGATGTAGGGAGATTTCATACAGCAATAATGAGTTTGAAGGAGGTTGATCGTCACATGAACACGTGCATGTTAAATGGCGCCTTGAAGGTTCAGCTGGTCCACAACTAGATGTGCTGTTCATTTCCATAGCAGAGGTCTGGCTACCATGCGTTTTGTAAGTCAGCCATGTCCTTTGATCCTATTCATGCATGTAGCATCCCGTATCGCTTTATTTATAACGCATGTCGACATTACAGCTTTGCTGTGTCTTTTCTTCACTTCTTCTGAGGTTTCGAAGATAGCATTTCCTGCTTCTCTGCTTGCAGTTCCAGTACAGCTGCCATTCTTGTCTGTGTCTTCTCTGCGTCCTGCACTGTCTGATCGTAAGACGTTCTGTGCTCTCCAGGGCTGCCCCCCCCACTCTTTTTTTGGTGTTCAGCAAGACAGTTTGTCCCATGACGGCAAATACAACCCCAGAATCCTAACTCTCGGGATAGATCCGGCCCTTGGGACATTCCCGACTTTCCATTCACATGCCACAGTGGCTGTTTTTGTAAGACTTGCAGATCTGTCAGAGTCCTTGGGCCTCCACCTCTCACACCCCTAACCCTTCCCAAAATAAATCCCAGGGTGCCCGCAAAGATTTTCATTTGGGAGTGACTGCAAGCCAGCCCTACTGACCCTCGACCTCAGGGCCATGCTCCCCAGCTGTGTTTACAGCCCGCCCCCCCCGCGGGAATGTGCTGACCTCTATTTACGTTCTGAAGGCTGTTGGTAGAGGTGACCGGGAGGTGATTCAGCCAGGGTCTTCGCCATTGGCTGGGAGATTTAGCCACAGTCACACACGTTTGCAGGACCAGGAACATAAATAGGTCTCTTCTCTGGTAACACACCTATTTACCTTTCGCACAACCAGAATTACCAGAATGCAAGGGGCCCACCTGCATTCTTCTGAATTTCAGAAGCTTCTGAAATGCAATAAAATCTGGTCTGTTAGCAGAGGTGGAAAGTTCAGGTCCAGAAAGTAAAAATCCAGACCAAGATTTTCTTTCAACGAACCAGTTGAGTACTCTGTGACTGTGACTCTATATGCAACTGGTTGGTTGAAACAAAATCTTGGTCTGGATTTTTGCTTTCTGAACCTGAACTATCCAGCTCTGTTAGTTTTGTTTGTCTGTGGTTCATTTTTCATTTTTAATCCTGTATCTGGCATGCCCCCCCACCCCCAGTGGCTTCCCTGCTCAGCCTGAGACTTAAATCTCCGGCGCTTTGTGGTCGTGTCTCCCTGTGGATAAATGCAGACCTGGCCACTGCACTCCATGTAGCGGTTGACCTGCCAAACAAAAGTTTTGGAAAAAAAAGCAACAATTCTTTCTTTTACTTTGTTCGTTGCCTGGATCTTCTGCCAGGAAGCAGCCAAGATTAGACTGGGTGACAATGTCTCACTTATGTAAACTGTGTCATGCATTTTGCTTCCTAAGAATTAAATTTTACTGTAATTTAACTGTCTTTTGCGGGCTTGTAAATGTATTTAATGAACCTTGAGTGACAGGAACTGACATTAATAATATTCAGAGGTGCAGGTGGTTAAAATGTCCAAAAATGTATCTGTAATGCTCAAGCCTGACCACACCCCCCCCCCCCCCCCCCCCCCCCCCGCAAATTAGGCCCCATGAAATGCACTGTTCATATACTTTAATGAATTTCAAGGCTACTTAATAAAGATACTCAACTATTATAGTTATGGTTGGCACTTTTTAATGGACACAGCTAGTTCATTATCTCAGCCTCTTCTGTTATTGAAATAACAGAGCCCTAAGCCCTCAGCCCTAAGCCCTTAGTCTAACCATAACCCCTACTCCTACCCATACTCATTAGCTGCAGTGTTGGGAGACTGACTGTAGCTGTGAATGTTGGTAAAAGTAGCTGGTTTATGCATTTCAGAAGGTATTTAGCCACAGAATGGCTTTGCTGACTCAAACAGAAATCTGTTCTGCCGTGGGGCAGGGGGAGAATAACGGGGTCTTATGCACAGACACACACACAGACTCATATACACAAACACACAGACACACACACACAGACGGACACACACAGACACACGAATACACAGACACACACACACAGACTCGTATACACAGACACAGACACACAGACAAGTATACACAGACACACACAGACTCGTATACAAAGACACACACAGACGGGGACACACACACACGAATACACAGACACACACACACACAGACTCGTATACACAGACACACACACACACAGACTCGTATACACAGACACAGACACACAGACAAGTATACACAGACACACACACACACACACACACGAATACACAGACACAGACACACACAGACTCGTATACACAGACACACACACACAGACGGACACACACACACACACACACACACACGAATACACAGACACACACACACACACACGAATACACAGACACACACACACACACTCGTATACACAGACACACACACACAGACAAGTATACACAGACACACACACACAGACAAGTATACACAGACACACACACACAGACTCGTATACACAGACACACACACACACACAAGTATACACAGACACACACACACAGACTCGTATACACAGACACACACACACAGACAAGTATACACAGACACACACAGACTCGTATACACAGACACACACACACAGACGGACACATGGACACACACACGAATACACAGACACACACACACAGACTCGTATACACAGACACACACACACAGACTCGTATACACAGACACACACACACAGACTCGTATACACAGACACACACACACACACACAGACACACACACACACACACACAAATACACAGACACACACACACAGATGGACACACACACACACACGAATACACAGACACAGACACACACACACTCGTATACACATACACACACACACACACCTGGGACACCCTGGACCCCCACCCCCCACAGAGATGGTGGACCCAGTAGGGCAGGGTGAGGAGGGGGGGGGGTTCCACCTCTCCAGTTTCATTAATGGCACTCCAGCTCGTCCTGCATTAGGGCTGTCAGAGGGCCACCAGGGGGTAAGGTGACCCCCCCCCCCCC